TGAGGTAAAGATAGCACTTTTTACTCAAACTAGCGTACGTCCAGTAGTCGAAATTCGACCATAATCATTATTGAAAATTGGAGAACATAAAATTTGTTAGATGTATACAGGATGTCCCACATAAGAGAAAATATACAAAGTTATATTATTTTTAATGGAAAACCCTGTTTTTTATTTTAGAATTAAAAACTACATCAAAAATAATGTCAGTTAACTAAAGGTTCCCTATTACTATTATTATTAGTTTTCGATTTATTTGAATTTTTAAGGAAAAAAAGTCTCCCAGAAATTAATTGTTTACTCTTGTTTGAATAATTTTTAATGAACTAATTTTTTTCTTATGTGGGACATCCTGTATACATCTAACAAATTTTAAATTGTAGCCGTCTGTAACCTACGTATTCCTCCCAAACGAATTTTTTATATCTTTGGTCGTTTTCCCATAAAGCTCCGTCCCGTTGAGCGTGAGCCACCCTGTATTATGCACTTGCATGTTCCTTACATTTTTTTATTCTTATACATTCGTTCATTGTATATATGCGACCATACACTTTTATGTGTACTTACATTACAAAATAGTACTATTGTAATTAAATAAAAAATAAATTCAATAAAATAACAGTAACTTACAATTTAAAAACCCTCATTAATTAATATGTTATGAAACAAACATTTTTGTTTTGATATAACTTTGAGGCCCCTAAAAAATGCGGTTGGGTGTGGGTAATTCCCATCGTTCTACTTTATCCGACCTCAGCTTGCACCCTCTCATAAACTATATCGAAAATACTCATTAAAAGCTCAGAAGAGGTATAAAAAATAGAGTTGGGTAAGGAGGTTGGTCTACTCTTCGAATATTTCAAATTTTTTAATTATCTATACAACCAATATCTCAAAACACTCGAATTATAAACACAGCTTATACAATACAGCTCCACAACTCCGTGTCGGCGTCTTTGATCTGGCGGTCGAGAACCAAGCAAGACGGAATGGTGCTATCTCTGTTAGATTCGAGGGAAAAGTCGGGCCCGGATTAAACAATTTTTTTATTATTGAAAAATTGAAAACCTTAGCGTAATAAGGTTGGTTACATGCCATATTAAGTAAGTTTTGGGAAATTAAATTTTTAATTTGTTTTAAATCTGTCAAATATAATTAGAAACATTATTTAAATATAAATATTACGAAAAATAGCACATCTTTCGGATTAGAGGTAAAATAATTTGTATGTGGCTAGTAAAATCCTGGTTAACAAATGTTTTGAGCTAAAACAGTCACTTCACGACAAATTGTGGTTTGGATCCTTTTTACACCAAGGGCTTCAATTGTTAAAGAATTGTGTCACGCTCGTGGATGCAAATCAAGTGGTACCCCGTGTCTCTGGCAAGTGTTACTCTTCGCGCAAAGAGTTTATACCTAGATAAACGAATGCTTCGACTGAGGTCTGGGAACTCTATGGTATTTTGGAATTATAAAGAATTTGTGCTTTTATTTCAACAATATTGGTTATATTTAGATGTATTCTTATTAATTGAAATACAGATTTGTAGAAGTAATACTTTGACAGTTTTTATTATTATAATATATTCAATTTTTATCTGACCATACCGAAGTATGGCATTTTGAAACTTTATAGTAATATGAAATTTGAATTACAATATTACACGATATTACATAATTAGTACTTATTTTAGGTAGGTACTAAATTTGTACTTGGAGAAAGTAATATCGATTTTTACAAGAAAACTTGAAAAGTAAATTAATTTAGTTCCTATTTCTGATGTAAAACTTAAGTTTTGGTTTAAACCAAAAAAACAAATAAATTATAGTTTGTTCAACAAGGGTGGATATGATAGCAATATCACACAAAGACGAAGTTTGAGCACGACGTCGTAGGCAGAGTACTCAATCGTCTGATTGTGATATGAACAATCCACTCGATATGGTCAGTATATTTTTTCTACGACCCACTAACGAAAATCTACAAATTTAAAAAATTATTTTAGGTTATTTAGACAAAATAACTAATTTTAAAATAATTTACGAAGTTGACTAATTTATAAAATAAAATAAACATGAAAAATTAATTAGTCCTCGGCCTAGATTCGATCCCGGGCTTTTCGCGTGGAAGGCAGATGCTCTGTCTTCATCTTCACCGAAACTTTCAGGACTTTAGTTTTAATACTCGTAATTAAATTAGTATCATGTAGTTTGATTAAAATTTATTTTTTTTTAAATGTGGACACAATAAAAACAAAAATGCTATTATTTATCGAGTCTACACAAAAATTTTAATGTATATTTAATATCAATAACTAAAATATATATTGACAATTAGTTTAACAGAATTGTCACTTATTTAAAAAATTTTAAATAATAGGAGTTGGGTGACCAAAATATGAACTGTGATTTGTAGATTTAATTTTGTTAAAGTGTTCTCACTACCTAAAATGGATATGAAATATATTCGTAGTTGAACGCAATAACATACTTTTTCGTTTTGTAGTATGTGCGTAGATTGGCTAATATCCATGCACAGATAACAAAACGAAAAAGTATGTTATTGCCTTCAATTGAACGAATATATTTCATATCCATTCTAGGTAGTGAGAACACTGAAAAAAAAAAATAAATTCGCCAATCACCGTTCATATTTTAATCAACCGACTGCTATTATTTTTAAAATTTTAAATAAATGGCAATTCTGTCAAACTAATTGTCAGTATATTTTTTAGTTATTGAGATTAAACATACAATAAAATAAGTTATTCTTTTGGAAAACGTTAGCATGGATGACTAAAGGGTATTGGGTTAATTAATTCTAAAAGTGTGGCACAAATGTTATTTTTTGTAGCCAATTCTTCAAAATTATTTTGAAATATCTTTTCAATATTGAATATTAGTTCTACAAATTCTTCATTTGACAGTTACAGATTTCCAAATGTATCTGGATTGGCGTTATCATATGCCTTTAAAAAGCAATAAAAAGAAAAATCATCTAATTCGACGTGATCTTTGTTATATTTAAGACAGGTATCGCAAAGGAGTGGATCCGCAAGGCTTTTATTAAAAGGTAACCACACACATACCTGATAAAATTTTTCTGTATTAATTCGTCTTTACAATAATTTAGGGTGTTAATAATTTTATCATAAAATAAAATACAAGGTGTTCCATTTAAAAAACGTACATTTTAATTTGCCAGGCAAAAACGTGACACCCTGTATATCCAAAGATATTTTTAAAATATGTAGATATTTTTCAAATCCATATAACTTTTATTTAAAACTTTCTTGCGTGTCTACAACAAAATAATGAACAATAACGCACTAATGGGATACCCTGTATAAATTATATTTTTAACAATGAAAATTTCTTATAATGTGGTACTTATCGGTTTGGGTCCTTGGGAAAACTAAAGAATGTTTTCTTGCAGGTATAACCCTTATTAAAACAGCTTTTGACTGCACAAACAGAATGATGTCTTTTTTTTTCACTCATTCTACTCACAGCTAAAGAGTCACCAAAATAATAACAGTACCTTTGACTTAAACAAAATCAACGAAATTATAGGCTCCACGAAATTATACAATCAACGTAATTATACGCACGACTCAACACCTTACCTAAAAACGCTTCTGAACGCCAAAACCGTCTTTTCCCTTCGAAGGCGGAGCTTAAGCGATGCGCGACGAAATCGACGCAAACCGTTGCCGCCAAGAGAGTGTTTTAGCTGTATTGTATAAGCTGTGTTATAAACTTTCACCCCACCTACACTTAAGAAAGGAGGGGACGAATTCACCCCCTTCCCCACTTACATTTAGAGGGGGTGAAGTAATTTTTTTCTATAAAAGTCCAATTCATCGTACAGTATATATTATCTACTTCCCATAGAGTGGGGGTAAATTGATGGTGGGGGGGGGGGAAGTTGGGCGGTTTGAAATCGTTTCAGGCGCTTGTAGTTTTTTCTATTCCTTATCATTTAGGCGTGATAGAGAAAGATGGTGAAGTTGCAGAAGTGAGGGAAGGGGAAGTATTGTTTTGAGTTTTTCGCGATCCTCTATCCGTCTATGTAATATTGTCCTTGTCGGTTAGACATTAAAGGGTGGTCATGTTCGCTGTAGGCAAATTTTATAAGTCAATCATAATTCATATTTGTGGATCAATGCATTTCATATATCGAAGGTTGGGGAAAAATACTATTACCAAATTGTTTCTATTTTTGATAACACTAAAGCTTATCAATAGGTACCGAACAAAAAAAAAGAAAATCGGTTTACAAAGAGAAAATGGTACTGAACTATTTTGTATTTGCCTATTTATATATAGATATTTTATCGTTAACGCTTTATACATTTCTTATGAACTCTCTAAATAATGATTTGTAACTCATTTTTACTAAAAACTTTCTATAGCAAACCCTTTTCTCAATAATGTATGTTCTTTTAGTAAAGCCATTTAACTTGTCTTGCTCTTGGTTGTGTCTAATGATTGTAGGAATGCATATCATCTGTTTTTAAATGTAGGGTGAATAAAACTGCAATTAATTTAATAATTATGAATGATAATTGCAGAATTATATTCTAAAATCTTACCGTTAGCGTTTAATTTCAGTTTAGATTTAGTCCCTTTCTTCTGATTTTTATTTGTAAAAATTGTGTTTGCAAACAGTAATACTACTACTCACTCCATGCATGCTAAACTTTCAAATATTTCAACAAATAAAATTTGGTCCGAGGCCGTACCTTAACCCTAAAATTTTAAAATTAACCAGTCACATAATAATATATATCTTTATAATTTAAATAAAAAGTAATTTTGTTGAAATTTTGTGGAAATCATTTCATAATGTTTCCTTGTTGTTTTGTAGCTTATCTCTTAAAAAACCAAACCACCGATATTATAAAAACTCTCACTGGAAAGTAGTCCAAAAATAAAAATATAAACATCACTAAATATTAATAACATATAAGATTTTTTAAAAAACTACGAAGTACGAACTGCAGCAGAATATTTTTTTCAAATCGATTTTTCATCCTGTGACGTCACACCCCCGTCCATAGCATCCGAACGAGGCCACCGTATTGTCAACGAACCGTGGGTATGCCCATTATCTATCTTTTTTTATATTTTTTGTCAGCTTTCGCATCTGGTGTGGGTAATCTGTGATAAAAGAATACATTCTTTAAAAAGTTTTTGCCTTATTTCTTATAATTTTCAGCAATGAAATACTTACCATTTTCATCAAATTCGTTTTTGTACAAATCGTTTGAGTTTTGCCAATCATTGTGAGATATTTGTGGAAATTTATAAGTATAAGGTACTTCAGATATATTAAAAAAATTGTTTTGTTCTCTGTTTCTATTGCAAGAGCAACAGAACCCATTGCTATAAGGTATAGTATCACTTCTATAACTTACTGATCCGCATACTGGATTGCTGTTACTGTCTGGATTACAGCCTGTGTAGCCTAAAAAGCGACTGAATTATAATTTTTGAATTCTAGTGGTGGAAATGGATAAATCTAGAATAATTTTTAAAGGATAGTATAGATATTTACCGGCTTGATCCTTATTTACTACCATTTCCTTTGCCTGTGCATTAACTATTCCATCATAGAACAATCCATACACTGCTAACACAGGTTGTTGTACTATTTTCAGGACATATGGATTAAAAAGTTTTTGTTTTTGTTGTGTGACGCTATCAAATACATGATCGATCAGCAAATATTGACTCTTACAATTAGTGATACCATTATTCTTGATTTTAACTGTAAGTTTAAGTTTCCTTTTACAATTTGTGATCCCTATTATCTGTTCCATTCGTTTTTTCATACAACCCTCTTCTTGATTAGCAGCTCGTACCGTTCTCACTACGGTCATCGGCATTTTTTTCTTTTCAGTGCTTTTATCCGGCTTGTGGCATTTTACTAAAAGAGCTTTAATTTCGAAATCCGTTGGGTATACTTTGCAACATGGTGCCTTTTGGGCACAACATCTAAGGTTTCTTTCTTCATCGGTTAAAAATTCACCTAGTTGCCCTGATAAAGGTATAAAAAGAAGTGTAAATAAGAGTAAAAATCTCATAAAAGGTTTCAATACTTTTGACAAATAATATCTTATGACATATTGACGTTACAGATAACTGTAAATTATTTCCAACTATTAGAGAAGAGGAGGCGAAGCGGCATACCCGAAATATGCCAGTTTAGTGTGATGTCAATTTTAACCAAACTTTAAACAAAAAAAAAAATAAATTTGACATAATATACGTTTGCGAATTAGTTATCACATACTTTGATTACTATACGGGACAAGAGAGAGGTCCGACACGCCCAACATAGGGCGCGGCCATTTGGTTCCTATGACACAGTTTATAGCTAAAAAATCAGATCGCTCACTCTGCGTCGGCACTTTTAATCTCAATGTTCCAGTTTATACACTGTGCAACTCGGTTAATACAATATATGACAACCGCCTACAATAAAACAGCCGTCTTCTGCGTATCCTGCATTTGTATCCCTGGAATGGATGTTATTTTGGAACTTTCAACTGGTCCGAGTAAGCTATCTGATTCTATAGCACATACTTTGATTAAGTATGTGTTCTATAGCAATAAACTGTGACTCCAAAAATAATATTCACTGACACTGACAGCAGCAAGCAAAATATCAGGTGCGTTTTAATCATCCGCTTCTGTTTCCGGAATTGTCGGTTTAGTCGTTTTAACCTGTTAGATTAAAACAAGAAAACCGACAATTCCGAAGCAGAAGCGGATGATTAAAACACACCTATTAAAAATATTGCGCCAAGATGTAAGGAACACGTAATAAGGGTTCAAAACGGCGGAGTTTTCTATCTCCTTTTAAAAGGCACTCAGAAAGCTGCGCAGTGCGACCATTCTACGTATAGTGAAAAAAAATCAAAGTATGTGATTAGTTATACTCTGTTTTTAAACTAGGAGGAGCGATTTGAATTTAAGTTGGCAATTCTGTAGACTTCTGATTGGTCAGATTGCAGTCAGTTTCACACATCACTTTTTAGCATTAACATCAGCTAATAATTGATATTGTTGACAATTCTGACATTTTATATTTTAATAGCTCATCATTATTATTTAGTTTTTACATTATTTGGTAAATAATAGCTCTTTTCAGATTTTCAGTAAGCAATTGTATTGAATTTCTACGATTATGGATCCTTTTTCATCGAGTACCATTAAGTGTAGCAATTCCTGAGAAGCCTTATAAGAAAGGGAAGACGACTTATTATTTTACATGCTAATTCTAAAGAGAGTTTTGTAGGAAATACAATACTGGTTTTGAAGGCAAAAAGACGGAGATTACCATGAAGAGATGAATTCTGAAGTATTCCAGAAAAAACTAACAACTTTATGACTGATTTTTTAAGACTAAAAATTGATCATTTGTTTACCAAAATGATTAAAAAGTAAATAAATATTCAAGTAAATTTTATTTATTAGAAAATAATAAAACCATTTTCAAAATTATTAATTTACAGATTTGCTACATTAGAGATCTCTTAATTTAGCATAATGAGCTAACGTTACTTCCACAAAAAATATTTTAAAAATACTTAACATCAATACAAAAGTATATATAAATAATCACTTTAAACTAAAAAATATGGGTTAAAATTACAACTTGAGTTGAAATAACCTACAATATTATTAAGTTAAGTTTTAGTAATGATAAAATGTTATCATGTAGTGTTATGAAAATATTGGTTCCAGTTTTAAAAACAAATCCTGACTCATAGGCCTGTAAACTTTTAAATGCCTTCATTTGTCCTTCAGCCTATTAACTATGGGTTAACACTAAGTAAGCTACAATGTCCATATTACTCATAGGAGAAATTCCAGTCACTGTGTGATCCAGTTGCCATTAAGATATTCAGCCAGTTGCCATTCGCCTTTTACTTGCGTTTATATCTATAACAAATATATCATTGAAAATGTAAAATTATCATATTTTTATGTTTTATACTCACGTGCATCTTTATATTTTTTTAACAATTTTCATAAATATTCAATATCCATGTTGTAGTCAAAAGTGTTTGGGCGCTTAGTACTTAATATAACCTTCCTTTTGTTTATCATAGTATGTAAAAATAATGTTGTCAGATATAATTTGATATAAGTTGTCAATAAAAGTTAAAAAGGAAAAGTTCATTTTTGCTAATAATAGGTGTTTATCCAAACATTTTAGTCCCCGTAGCTCTCATTTTGGCCGAGAGAAAAGTGCAAAACTAAAATGTCTCACAAAGAGGGTGCCGTCAGAAAATCCAGCAGGGTTACTGCAGGAATACCGCCATTGAGATATCCGGACAGTCCATACGAACAAAGTGCAAAAGCGTCGACGAAGTCTAAAAGGTCCATATATTCAATGACCAGTGAGAAATTAAAAGAAATAGAATTAAAAAAGTTAGAAGCCATAAACCAGCTGCAGCGAGAAGAAGACCAGCTGCAGCGAGAAGAAGATTTAAAAGAGATAGAATTTCAGAAACAAGAACAGGAGATACGGAGAAAGTTTGAACGAAGAGAATATGAAAGAAAGTTAAGTATTATAGAAGCGAAAGCATCAATAGAAGCCGAAAAGATAATAGAAAATAGTATAAATAGCACTGGTGTTAAAAGTAACAGCTCTAAAGTTTCCATTAAATCAAATGAAAGACTAATATATACTGAAATACCATGTGCCCATGAAAAAGTTAGAACTTGGTTAGAAGCCGATAAATTGTCACATAAAGAATCTATATTTTATTGAAAAAAGTCCAAAAATTATTCAACATGAACCTAAAAATACTGCTAATCTTACTAATCCTGTCGATTCAACATCTGAGCGACTGGTGAAGGAGTTTACGACTGCAACTCAGGCCATGACAAATGCGTTTAGAGGTCTATCTGAAAATAATCAACTGGGAAATATATCTAAACTGTCTTTAAGAAATGTTCTTGGGAAAGAGCTTCCTAACTTTGGGGGCAACATCGAGGAATGGCCCATGTTTATTTCGCTATTCAAAAGGTCAACAGAAACTTGTGGATTTACCGATGAAGAAAATATGATTCGTTTGCAAAAAGCACTAAAACATGAAGCCTTCGAAGCAGTAAAGTCATTATTTGTTTCTCCAGATAACTTAAAATGTATCCTTAACACTCTAGAGATGAGATTTGGTCGCCCTGAATACATAATAGAATCGATGATGAATAAAGTCAAACAATTACCTCCAGTAAATAGTCGCTATCCACTATCGTTCATTAAATTTTCAAATGCTGTTCAAAATCTTTCTATTACGGCTCAGTCGTTAAAAATGGAACCCTATATCAACAACTCTCAACTTATTAGTGCCCTCATTTCAAAATTGCCAGAGCACCTACAATTTCAGTGGGCAAGAGTTGTAAAGGGCCAGCAAATTAATATGCCAACACTAATCGAATTTTCTGAATGGCTCTATGAAGAATCGTCGGCAGCTAGTTTATTATGCAAACCTTCATCTTCAAACTTCATGCAAGAAAAATATCAAGAACGAAAAATCAGAAATACAGTTTTTGTTGGATCAGAAGATTCAAATAAACAGCAGTGTATATATTGAATAAAGCCTAGTCATAAAATTTATAAATGTAAAAGCTTCCTAGCTCTGAATACAGACAAAAGATGGGAGTGGGTAAAGGAACAAAAAATCTGCTTTTCCTGTCTTGCCGCTTCTCATATTTTATATGATTGCACTAAAAAGAGAAAGTGCGGGATATCAGATTGCAAAAAGTACCACAATCGTTTATTACATACCAGTTCTTCCAGAAATCAGGATATATTACCGAAGCAATTACATAATTTACTGCACCAAGATGTTCAGCCAGAACAGTTAAATTTAAATAATGAAAATAAACCCGACCATTTATCAGTCATTATGAATGAACATTCTCTTCAAATACAGTCTGTAGCAAAAACTGTCCTCCTTCGAATTTTGCCTGTTACCGTGATAGGAAATAAAACATCCATTAAAACTTTCGCTCTTTTTGATGAAGGCAGCACGATCACGCTCATGGATAGTAGTCTTGCTGAAGAAGTGGGAGTAGAAGGTAACATCGATCCTTTGAAGATGTTTTGAACAAATTCAACATCATTTACAGACAACCTTTCAAGAAGAATAAATGTAAAAATTCAGGGAAAACTTAATAACAGCAATTATGAACTTTCTAATGTTCGTACTGTATCGAATTTAAATCTGCCCACTCAGTCTGTAAACGTTCAAAAACTATCAACAAAATGGCCTCATCTTTCACAAGTTCCCATTGCTGATATGCTGCAAGCCAAACCATTATTACTAATCGGGCAAGATCATATCGATCTAACCATTGCTAGAGAGGTAATTCAAGGTCCAGCAAATGCCCCAGTTGTCTCCAGAACCAAATTAGGGTGGGTAATTCATGGTAACCTATCCTACATCAAACACAGAATCCAGCCTGAATTTTCTATGCACTGTTATAATAAAAACGATAACGAAATCAAAGAACTAGAAGATCTAATACGACAAAGTATAATTATTGATAATTTAGGCATTAGCAATGAAGACAAAAAAGTATTGTCCGATGATGATAAAAAAGGTTTTTTGATTATGGAAAAAACCTGCAAACAGTTAGAAAATGGCCATTGGGAAATTGGTTTACTATGGAAAAAAGAAAATCCCCAGCTGCCAGAAAACCGAAGTTTTGCTTTAAAAAGATTGTATACTATCGAAAGACAAATGGACAAAGACGATTTATTTGCAAAAAAATACTGCCAACAAATAGATGCATTTATAAGAAAAGGTTATGCCAGAATCCTTACTGCCGAAGAAGCTGCGGTTGCTACGAACAAAACTTGGTATTTACCACATTTTGCAGTTAAGCATCCCAGCAAGCCCGAAAAATTTCGCTTTGTTTTTGACGCCAGAGCCAAAGTAGAGGAAACCAATTTAAATCAAAATTTGTTCAGAGGTCCTGATTTATTAAATTCTTTAATAGATATTTTATTCAATTTTCGCCAAAATCCAGTAGCTGTGTTGGGTGATATCGAGGAAATGTTTCTCCAAGTACAAATAATACCAGAAGATCAATTTGCTCAACGATTTCTGTGGAGGGGAAGAGATAGAAAAGGTCCTGTGCTTACTTACCAAATGCAAGTTATG